GGATGCGGTACCCTTTGCAGGCACCGTGAGGTTTGTGGGAGGCCAGGGTTAGGTGCTGTGAAATGGGGAGTATGGGCTCCTGCTCAGCAACCCTTCCACGCCTGACTTCGGGAGTCTCCGTTTGCACCTTAAAAACCAGCGAGATGTTTCTGGCTTGTGTCTTCCAGAGTCATGAAGAAGATGACAGGAAGGTAAGGAGGAGAGAGAAAAACCGAGTCGCTGCCCAGAGGAGCCGGAAGAAGCAAACTCAGAAAGCAGATAAACTTCATGAGGTGAATGGGTACTTGATGTTTTGCAGGCACGTCTTGGTTACTGCGCATGGGACTTGACAATAAATGGGACTTCTGAGCAGGTGTGGGCCTGTCTTCACACTAATCCAGCTCAGAGAGCTGTGGGTGTGCGGCAGGGACAGGCGTGTGCAGGGAGCCTCTCCAGGAGCTCCCACACCCTGATGCTCAGGTTGGACAGTGCAGCTCTGCCAGCAGTGACACTGACAGGGAGAGGCAGACGTGGTCCTGCCCTCGCCTCATGTCCCTCTTTTGCTGTTTCTGTGACCACCCAGAGAACTGGATCACAGGGCTCCTCTGGGCTAAAACAAACCTGTTTTCTTCTGGATTAGTGTTAAGCTTGTCACATTCACTGTGGCAGTGGATGAATGATTGCTGCCTTACGAGAGAGAAGGCAATGGAGGGGAAGGATGGGACTGTGCTTCTTAGTGGCTGTGCTGGCTTAGGTTAATTCTAGAACTGTGGTGTGAGATAGAAATACCCAGTTGAAAAGGCTTCTTAGGAACTTCAAAACCTCCAGGCGTGAGAGCTCGGTTCAGTTAGCTGTTATACTTGTATGCTCTAATAAATAACAGTGGGTGTTTCCAAAAAAACATGAAAGTAACTGATTCTTCCAGAAACTCTTAATACTTCTCAATATCACAACGTGGTGTAGTTTTCTCTGGTCCCCACTGCAAACGCTGGAGAGCAGGAATCCCCTTTCTCTGGTTTTGGGTGTTACCTCACACAACAGTGCTTTTGCTGTAGCTGGGACTGTTGGGGTAGGTGTTAGTTCTGCTGCTGCAATTGTGGCTGAGTCCGTTGGTCAGTTCTGGAGGTTCAGCACAGGCTCTTCTCTTTCTCAGTGTGGAAGGATCTGCCAAAAGTCAGCAGAGGCCAAGAGGGGCAGTGTGGGGAGTTTTGGGTTTGGTTTTTCCCAGATCTCCTCTGAGTCAGCGCCTGAGAAAGCCAGGTGCAGAGTGCTTCTGGAAAGGGGTAACCCCTGGCTTTTGTGGATTCTTTTCTGGGCCCTGCGCCATCCTCCAGCCTCTCTGATGTTCCTCCTGGACTTAAGGATCTTCCAAATGCTGGGAATCTTCATTCTGGGGCATGCAGGTTTTCCCAGCTGCAGGCAGATCTGGTTGAACAGGCATTTGTTCTCAGCAAGAACAATTTGACAGTCTCATCCCTAAAAATGGGACAGAGCAATGGGACAGTAACAGTTACTCCAAAACCCAACCCCGTGGGATTTGGGGCAACAAGAGGTGTGCAGAGCCAGAGTCAGGGATGGACAACTTTTCTGGAGTCTGTCTATAATTAACGTGTTCAGAGGATTGTGCCTGTTTTACTCTGTGGGTGAGAGGTGGTGGGTGGTGCAAGGGTGGCGAGAGGATCCAAACTTCTGCAGCAAAGGGCAGCAGAGGCAGTGCCAGGCTGCCCAGAGGAGCATTGCATGCAAGGCTCTCCCTGCTGCCCGATAAACAGGCCTTTTAAGGCATGTGTAGGCTTTGAAGTTGTTCTGAAGCTTTCCCGGGGAGGTGAGACCGAGTGGGTGGGTGTTGAGTCCTAGGCCAGCAGCGAGGTGCAGACACCTGCAGGTTTTCCGTGGGCTGGCTCTGAACCTCTTGCTCTCTTCTCTTTGGGATGAGAAGTCTTGACAGCAGGGACACGTGAAACATGCAGTTATCAAGAAATGTGACACATGAGTCTCATATCTGTCACAGATGTATGCTGCAGAGCATCTCAAAACTCCCCTGCAGTTAGCAGCAGCTTATTCATTGCCAGAGAAACCTTAGCTCAAAAGCAGCCTGGGTCAGGAATAACCAAAGCAGTGAGTGGTCAGGCCTTCTGGTGACAAAGTGGGGCTGGGAGCAAGCTGGCATGACGCTCCCCTCCTCCTGCTCTGGAGTTCCCGGGCACCTGAGCAGGTTGCTACAAGCCCCATCCAGGCAGGAGGAGAGCGGCTGGCAGCGAGTGCACTGTGCGAGGTGTGTGGCTCGGCCAGCACCTGGGTAAACCGCCTTTCCCTGCACTGGCCCAGGGCGGGGGCTGCCCTTTCCTCACTGCCAGTGCCAGGCACCGGGTTTTCCCAGCACCTACCTGCACTCAGTGCTTTCATTTTCTCTGCTCTGCCTGGCCCAGGGCTGGACGAGCCCACCATGCAGTGCAGCCACCCGTGCCCGCAGCCCTGGGCTGCTGGGGACCCCCGAGGGGTCCAATGGCACCCCCTGATCTTCAAGGCCACAGAGGGAATTGCAGCATGGTCAGGGCACAGGTCATAAAGCACTTGTCCTGTTTCAGCACCCAGGCTGTGTCTGTCTTTCCTTAGCATTTTGCACGTTGTAATGAGAAACCACCACAGTTTTTCTACAGTTACATGAATATACTCAAGGTGGAAGCACTGAAAGGAATGTTTTGACTATAAGTAGGCTTTTATTTTTTTCCTCCTCCTTCCAGGAATATGAGTCTCTTGAGCAAGAAAATACCTCCCTGAAAAGAGAAATCGGAAAGCTAACAGATGAAATGAAACACTTGAGTGAAGTGTTGAAGGATCATGAAAAGATCTGTCCACTACTGCACTGCACCATGAACTTTGTGACCGTACCAAGGCCCGATGCACTCACCAGCTGTCTGCCAAGATGAGAGCTCTCCTCCACCGCCTTTAAATGTGATGTGGGAAAGTGCCATTAACAGGAGGTTTGAAGAACTGCCTACTTACGTTGCAGGTCTTCCATCAAAGAGGGCTGGACTTGACCATGCAGCTCTTCTCCACCTTGAAGTGTTATAGTCTTCTGAATCTCAGGAAAACACCGTATGGAAAAAAGACAATTTGAACTGCAACTTCTTATTTGGTAGAATCTTCAAGCCACGATTTTGCATTCAGAAATGTCACAATGTGGTGCAGCCCACTGTCGCGTGATGGAATGTAGACAGGGAAAAGTACCGACCTTGGGCTGGGATGCCTTTCTCCCACACGTGCACTGCCAGTAACCCTTTGTCACTTGTCATCCATGTATATCACGTTCTGGCTGCTGTTTTTTTTTTTCCTCTGAACAGGTTTGGTTAATAAAAGTGATGTCCCATCTTTATGACCTTCTCCACCTTCTTCAATAAGCAATGTTTTTATAACATATCTACTTTTTCTTTACTGGTCAAATCCAAAGTCTAATGCTAATCTTCCTGTCAGTTGTTTTATTATTTGCTTATTGCCTCTTCATTGGCTCCTCTTTTGAAGTGTGTTTAACAAAGGAGTCTTCCCAGTCTTTATTTCATTAATATCCCCAGTCATCAGCCCTGCCAACATGAGCTCTTGGAGTGTTTTATATCCTAAAATACGGCTTGGCCAGTTTCTAGTGATGATTGTCTGCTCTGCATGGAAGAAAAGCAAAACAGAGTTTGCTGGTTCTACGTATTGTTTTTAAAAGCAGATTTTAAAATTTACTGTTTTAATGCACCCACTGGAAATTAACAAGTATCTTAATCCTTCTTTTTGCATATTGCTTCTGGTAAATGGTGTCCATGGATAGAACAAACTGAGTTAGGCTCAGCATTTTGTTGTGTGTCCACACTGAGGATGTTTGATATCTGTTTGCAAGAAAAGCCTTGTTTTCTTTTAACTTTTTTTTTTTTTTCCAAAAAGGAAGAATTATGACATTAGTGAGGAATATACAGAAAGATATTTCTACTTTCTCTGAAGATTCTTAGTAGTGTCAGGCTCTAAAAATGTGAATGCTGTAGCCTGGGATCCAGCAAAGAGTGTTTTTCTCACAGTATTTCCCAGCACCTCTGGAAAATAAAAGAGCACCTCTGGAAAATAAAAGCTCCACCCCTTTTCCAACACTCTCCCTTCAGCATCTGGATTTTTTTCAATTCAGCTCATGGAATTAATTTCTCCCCTCACCAGGACTGTAGTATTTATCAGCAGAATAGGATCTGAAATGTCTGAAAGATTCTTTTTCCTTTTTAGCTTCTTTAGAAGAATGATGTGTTGCTGATCACCACCAAGATAGAAGTGGGGAAACCATGTAGTCAACCCTGTCTTCTAAAGGGCCCTCTCGTGCCATTGTCTTAGGCTAAAACCTCAAGATAACAGTTGTGAGATGTTGGCTTATTAAAAAAGTTTTTATTAGATTGTCCCCAAGAGATTTTTCAGTATTTGCAGAAGCTGTCTACAGTCTGAATGCAGTCCTCAAAGCTTTGCTGCCACCAGTTCCTTCCCACAACCACAGTGTGTAGCTCCAGCCCGTGCACCATGTCCATTAGTAACAGTGGGCTCTGAACCCTCTGGGGCCAGGGCTGCTTCTTCCTCCTTCATCTATTGCATCACTTTTTTTTTCCCCCAGCACTATTTCCAGAGGGCCTTATGCATCATTCTTCTGTTTAGTAGATTAACCGAGGCATCTCTCACAAGCAGTATATTGTGTGACCAATGTTCAAAGGCAGCTGGGAACCCCAAGCAAAAGAAGTGAGCAAAATGAGTGTCCCAAGCCAAATAAACCCAACATTCTGATACATTTATAGAATTAATGTCACAGGTGAATTGTGGGTCGAAAGGGACAACGAGCTGTTAAATCACAGGCTTATGTATCCCTAAGCAAATGATATGCATACAGGCTGATTACACTCTTTTCAGGAGCTGGTTGTGAGGATATTGATTTACAGAGTGTTTCAAAACCAAAAGTACGTTCTGGAGCCTGGGATAATTTTTACATGAATAGGGAACCAGAAAAGAGAACAGAAAGGAAAAGGCCCATTTATTAAGGAAGCAACAGAAAGTTCTTTTTTTAATCCAAACCTTTTGCAGCAGGGTATTACACCATCACAAAATACATTTCATACCTGTATATGGCTAAAATACTGCTTGATGTATTCTAGCTTCAGAAAGCTTCCAGTCAGTTAGAGTTGTTCCCTATGGACGTGGTCTGTATTACATTCACGTGAGTTTCAGACACAGGTGTACAGGGAAGGTCTTTTCCATGTTCAGATGGTGGTTCATGTCAGGAGTACTGTGAATTGCAATCTTGTTTGTGGTGTGTAATGTAGATGAGGGTTGCCAAGAAAGCTGGATTTTGCCTCTCAGGTTCACAATGAAGGTTACAGTTTGTCTAGAATTGGTTTGCGTGGATTTCTTTTCTGTATTTTCTGTGATTCTAATGAAGAAGCAAAATGCTCAGTGCAAACCCATGGATAAAAGTATTAATTCCCGGAGCAGACTGGGTCCAGTTCAGCTATTTGTCTATTCATTTCTTTCAGTTGTCGTTGGGTCAGATTTAAATTGATCATATTTTGAAAAAAGAATTTTAACCTCCAAAGGTAAAAAAAATCAACAGGAAGGCAAAGTCAAGCTTCCCAAAACTGCTAGTGTGAGTATAACAGATACCAACTATTATACCTCAAGAGAGATGATTAGAAAGTCTTGCTTCTTCCCACTGATGTTTTACATTTATGTCTGTGAACATTTGTAAGCGTCTGCAGGTACTCATCCAGAGTATTGCTAAAAATACACCTTTAAAAAAACATATATACAACAGCCTATTCTACAGACTTTCTGTTCTTTCCCTGGTACATTTTACTGTTGTCTGCTGTAATACCTGCTGATCCCATCTGGATTTGGTATTTGAAGTAGCCTTCATATTCTCTCACCATTTTATTTCAAATGCCACTTTTTTTCCTTCTTCCCGTTCCCTTCTGTTCCTGTGTAGCTTGGTGACAGCATCGCTTAATGTTATTGGTATTAATGGAACACGGCTAATCTGTAGGAGCATACAGAAACTGAACTTCACTGGTGCATCCTGTATATGATTAAAGGCTTTTGTGTGTGTCTAGTTTTGCCAGTTGAATATTAAGGAAGATATCTGTGCAGTCTTTTAAAGTGTACTTAAAAGTGACATAACCTTTACTCTAGCCTATAAAACCCATACTGTTTCCTGTCCATAGATGAATGCTTTGCTGCATGGCATTTGGGGTTTCCATCTGTGAATCAGTCTAGAAATTCTTCAGTGAAAGTGATAGATAAAACAACCATGTAAAAAAATCCCTTTTCTTCCCATCAGTGCTGTGATATAATTCCTGTCACAGGAAGGAAGCACATCTGATAAGCAGGAGAAGTGGTGGGTTTATTTACTGTTAAGAAGACTACTGTTATTCTCTTTATAGGAGAGTAGGAGTTTTCTGTTTGTAAACTCTGGGTTACTGTCAAGTGGTCACTGGAGAAACATTTTACACATACATACAGCATGTGGTGTGGGCACGTATCCATAAGGGAGTGAAAGAATTTGGATTAATTCTTTGCAGAAATGTGGCTTTTACGTTGATTTCACTGGAAGTACAAACAGTCCTATGGTTGCCTTGGAGGACATGTGGCACTAAGCTTACTAACTTGGGTAATATTTAACTCAATAATAGCTACAGGCTGGCTTGAAGTGGGTAATTCTTAGTAAGGAAACCATAGTAACAATCATCCCTGGGGTTGCATGCTGCTTTTCTGGTACTCATTCAGGTTTTTTCCTAGATAGTTCCTATGGGAAAAAAAAATCCATAGGAATAGAGTAGGATTTTTTTCTCACACTGTAGAATTTTTAAACCATGATATCAAATGTAAGGGCTTGACTATTCTGGAAATAGCTGGCATAGCTTTAGCAAATAATGTTATATACTAGTTATGTGTTTGGTCTGCTCTAAGGGAATCATTATAGTTCTCTTTAGAAGTGGATAAGCTAAACCACAAAGGGCTGTCTTGGTATAGAATGAAAACATTAATTTGAGGAGTCAGCACAGAATGACTACTGTGCTTCAATTTCACAGTTTATCTTATCCTGAAGCAGCTGCTTCATTTAGCCAAATAGAAAATGATGTATCTAATAGGTGTGTTTGTTTTAAATCTGCATTAGAAGAGTTTTTATTGTATGTGTTCAGTAAGTTCTATAGACCGCCAGGATGGCTTGCTGCACTCAGCTGGGTACTGTCCAATTCAGTCTGCCACAGACAGTTCCCCTCAGAACTCGGTTATGGATAGAGGCCTCCAATTATCTGGAAGAACTTTCTCCTTTAACTGTCTCATAATGAGCTTGTTGTCATATTTTAGTTATTCTAAATTATTAAAATGACCAAACTCTTGAGATTCTAAGCAAGGGTCATAAGTAATCTCTCTTGGGATAAGCAGACTATTAAGGTTGGTCTTCCCATTAAGTAAGTAAAGTAAATTTTGAGAATACTGACTTGTTGTTTGTCTTAGGTAAAATAATTGAGGATAAGGAATAAACAACAAGACTCTGCTTAAATACTTGATGCAGTACAAGGCACAATTATTTCAGCTGGAGATGATGTGAAATAGTACAAGGATTGAAAAATAACCAGACAACTAGCTGAAGGAAAATGCAATTGTTTTGAAAAAGGAGCTATCAGGCTAAAGAATGGTTTATAAGTGGAGGTGCTCAAGGACTGATCAGAGACCACGCTTGTTTAGTGTCTTTGGTAAGGACTTTGGATACAAAGGAACCATTAGTACAGAAGAAGATTTAAATATCATGCAAAATAAACTCCATGACCTTGCAGGAGAGAATAGAAATGCCATGATAATTAATCATAGAATCGTAATAGAACAGCCCAGGTTGGAAGGGACCTCAGAAGATCATCTGGTCCAA